CCCCCTGAACCGGTTGCCAGCCAATCGCAGGGCACACAGAGACGAACAACCATCCGCGCTCACACTCACACCTAGGGACAATTTGGAGTATTCAATCAGCCTGCCATGAATGTTTTTGGGACGTGGGAGGAAACCGGAGAACCCGGAGAAAACCCACGCAGGCACGGGGAGAACACGCAAACTCCACACAGATGCAAAGATCAAATCCGCGACCTCAGCAGTATGAGGTAGACACGCTAACAACCGGACCACCGGGCTGCCCCGAACGAACATTGTTAAATTTATTAAATTAACTTGGACTTAATCGTCTCTGTTTACCCTGTGATTGGATGGCAACCGGTTCAGGGTGTCCGCCGCCCATTGCCCGAAGACAGCTAGGATAGGCTCCATCACCCCCCATGACCTATATGAGGATTAAGCGGATCGGAAAATGGATGGATAGATGGATGGATGAACTGAAATTCACGGGAATAACCCGTACTTGCAATAACAGCAAGAAGCCTGTGACTTTACCAGACTGTTGCATTCTTCATTTGAAATGTTTTTCCAAGCCAGTTCATGCTTGTTTCAGTTTTGGTTTTGGGTTTTTTTCCCTTGAGTCCTCTTAAGGAGGTAAAATGCTGGCTCTATTGCGTTAAGGTCAGGTGATTAACTTGGCCAGTCTAAGACCTTCCACTTTTCCCCCTTGAAGGTCCTTTGTTGTGTACCCAAAATCATTCCGTAACTGTGTTGACCTTCTGTGCATCATCGCAACCTTCTTTCCATTGGCGGTAATGCACCAAAAATATTTGCAATTGCCAAAGGACAGAAGAAGAAATGGAAGTAGTAGTACAAAGTACATTAAACCAACGTTTTGTTTTACAATTCCCAATTCAGGTCTTGTTGAATCCATGTCAGAGTCGTGGTTTATCAAAGGTCACTATCTGCACGGCCAATGAAAAGGCAGTTTAGAACAGTAGATTTGATCATGAATCGAGCAAGAGAGATCATTTACTGTATCCATGTCAAATGAAACATAGGTTACAAAAACAATTTGTCATTTTATTGTTTAGTCCCTGTTCAATTGTAGAGTGCCCCACAATATCAAGTCTCGACCCGGCCCATTTTTCAATCCCCCTTTGTTGGTGTGTCATTGATGGCCATTGATTGGACACGTCCAACCGGAAAAGCTTTATAACCTGTTGACCCAGAAAATAAGTATTACACACCATGAAACCTCAGCTGTGCTACAACTCAAGTGGACACGCATGCCCTTGAGCTAGTTAACTAAAAGGATTTTTCGAAACAAACCAAATATCCCAGAGCAGATTGAAAAGTGGGATGGATCGTTCATGAGCTCTTCATTTGCTCGCATTATCTCTACCTCGCTGTTGCAAGGTGGAAGCTATCTCGACGACGACGCTCAACAAAATAACAGTCTCTTTTCTCTTCAGGCTGGCAGCTCACCATGACGGATGTGAAGTTGTCTCCAATACACATAATGGACTTGGCAAGGTCCAGGCAGGCTAAGCATAGGCCGTCTACTCGACTCCGCCATCCAATCACCTTATTCTAATGCTATTGCATTGTTTAGTCAACCGGCCTTCCATTTATTTACATTAACCCAAAACCACACCGCTATCCCACGGATGCACTTAATAGAATTACTAGGTATTGTGCACCACATTTCAAACACATAGGCCATTTTAAAGAGTCACTCAGCCTACTCTCACCTGATGATACCTCACTTGCTGTCAAAGTAATAGCAGCACATCATGCAGCCTCTTTCTATCAGATAGAATTAACTGTTATAACTCTGGCTCCCACTGACACTTTGTTTATACAGGCCGCTCCAAAAGTATTGGAACCACGAGGCCAACTCTTTCCTTTATGATGCCGACTGAAAATAACTGGGTTTGACATAAAGATTAGTGGTACGAGATCTGCAGTTTCATTTTCATTTCCACGTATTCACATCTGGATCTAAAGCAGTACTTCTGAGATCTTTTTTGTATCTGTGTGTGTGTGTGTGTGTGTGTGTGTGTGTGTGTGTGTGTGTGTGTGTGTGTGTGTGTGTGTGTGTGTGTACACTATAGGTAAGATCGGGCCGGCCGAATTTCGGATCGGGTCGGGCCTAAAATGTCAATCATTGCTGCGAGTTCGGGTCAGGCTTCTCTCTCGCTGACTTTTTTTTTTTTGAGGCCGTGAATAGTTTTGGCCACGAGAGACCGTGGTTTGCAAAAAACAGAAGCGGCGTCATCACAACACGCACTGTGCTAAACTCTCGCAATGACAATTCAAAAAACTCCTTCATATATTTATGATCCAGCCGTCATTGTTATTTTTGGTCTCGCTGCTTCTCTCTTCAAGTGCCGCACTCGATTCTTAAGGACGTACTGCTGCTGTGGTGAATGGCTCAATTTTCAACCCGTCAAAATGGCGGACGGCCTTAAATTTTCACCGCCCACTCTTAAAAAAAAAATCCGTCAATGAGGGAAAATTGTTCGGTAATGTAACCTCTTCAGGAACATAAATATGAAAGACGTAAATGTTTATCCAGTCTTGTTTAACTTAGATTTCGTTCCAAAAGACAGGCTTTGTTATCAGAAATCACCCCTCCTCCTCCCGAGTCCTCACAAATAAAATATGAAATCTCGGGTTTGCTTCGGGCTCGGGCCTGAATATCAAGTTAAGTGATCGGGCTCATGCACCCATTGTGGCTTCCGTTCTCGCCGAAATTTCGCAATCTCAGAGATATGGCAAAGACATGAATGGCGAAGCCATGAGAATGCCAGGCGAGGGTATTACTGTTGTGGCGACGCCACTTGAGCTCGTCCGCTGCTCTCTACTGTGCGTGCGTCAGCGCGAACATGTACGCAAGCGCGTCTTTTGATTTCAACCAATAAGCGCCGACGCAGCGACGTCACACACCCGACGTCACACACGACAACAGCTATAAACTAAGCTAGCCGAGACGACACTCGAAGTCGGACGGACACGTTTTTCTGCCAATCTGTGTGTTTCCCTTTTTGTCCAAATATATTTTTTACGACAACTGTCTTGTCCACGGTGTCTTTTATTCGTCCCACTGGGGTTTAGCAAATGTGTTGATAAAGAGACGAAAATCTCTACTGTTACTAGTGTTAGTGTCTCAACATGGCTACGCTCGTGAAAGCAAAACAACGAACTCAAACGCGTCTTCGTTCAATGTTGTCAACTAATATCCGGATTAATTTTAGGCAAATTTTCCGCAATTCTCCGGAGAGATTTTCATAAAAATGTGAAAAAGCCGGAATTCCGGGAAAATCCGGAGGACTTTCATCTCTGGTTTAGGAACATTTGTGAACATTGCCGAGCTTGCAAATTCATAAAACTTGACTCTCTAGTTCTGAAGTGATACTTGTGGCAAGAGTTGCATTTGCACAGTCCTGTTTCTTGCCTAATTTGACAATGATGTAATATTTCAAAAATAAATGCATCCAATTATGAGGTACTCCAATACTTGTATATTTTCTTCACTATATACTTAAGTTATTGGGGTGGCCTACTTTTCACTTGAGTCATTATTCTAGAATCTCGACAGTAATTCCAATTTCCAACAAGCCAGTCTCGTCCAAAGACAGATGGGAAGGGCCCCAATTCACCCATGACCCAAGTGACGATAAGCGGTAGAGAAAATAAACACGTTGATTTCCATAACGTTCTGCTGACGGTATTTGGCACATTGGCCAAGCAAGATCCAGTTCAAATTTGGTGCATAGTGAGGAATTTCTCTACATTCAAAATGGCAATATCAGTACTTCATTCACAGTAAATCAGGAAATCACAAATGAAGAGCACTGAACATTTTCCCATTATGAATTTATTGGCGATGGGAGCTTTTTTTTTTTTGTGCTATGGAAACAATGCCTCAATCAAGGATCGACACCCACACTGGGAGAGAAATAAACATTCTTGCTTTGTTTTCAAACTTTATTGGCATTTTCCAATACATCAATTAATTCCAGTTACAATAAATGACAAGTTATATTTGCTAAAGCAACAACAAAATGAGTGCTATTTAATTTCATTTGTTCTTTGTACTGGTTCATGGCTTTGTAAATAAACGGTGGACTCCTGATATCCCTGCTAATCATTCAAGCACATAAATCATGCAGCAAATTTGGATATCGCTGAAAAAGGCTGAGGGCGGAAAAAGGCGATTATAAGTTTGGCAATACTTAAAGAGTCACAGTTCAGATGAGAAAAGAAAGAGAAAAGAATCTGTGTGAAAAGTAAAAAGTGCAAAAGAAAATGGAAAAAACAAAACAGCAGTATTTCACATAATTAAGAATTCAAGTTGAAAAACATGGAAAGCAGTTCTAATTTTTCAACTGCTCCACCACCACATCAATTTAAGCAGACTCAAATTACACTGTACAGAAATTCAAAGTGCAAATATGAATTGGTATTAAGCTGGTATTTACATTTGATTTTCAGGTTGATGTTGACTTTGTCCAGACAGGCTCAGCTCATCACTTGCTCTCAACACACTGAGCAATGGCATCAGATTTTTTTTTCTCTTTTTTTTTTTTTTTTTTTTAAAGTACAAACTAGCAAATAGTAGGTGTTCATGTCATTTGGTTTGTTCCCATTGCCACAAAAACTTCCTTGAAAAGAAAGGACAGACATTTATAGTAATAATACTACAGAGCAATATCCGTGTTAAATGCATGGCCAGTGAAATTTTTAGTTGTATTGCCAACCTTCCGCATCAATCATGACCATAACTTCATAATCCACAACTATTATTGTAGGTAACTAAATTGCATAGGACTTGTAAAACTTTCTTGCTTTCTGGCCATGTCTAACAAGTACTCCTGAAGCACAATATGGCTCAGAAGCTTTTTAGTTTCATTTTTTTCCCCTCAATGCTTGATGATCACCCGTGAGAACACCCACGACCAGAGCTGATGGTCAGATCTTTTTTCTTTTTATTCGTGTCAGAAATGACAGCAGTGAGAGTAGCCCTCCTCCAGTTTAATTGCCTGGCTGGTGCTGCATAGGGCAGGAATAAAATCCTGAAATTCATCCTGTTAACCATTACATGCTAAAATGCTATTTTGTTCACCTAAGATCAAAAGGACTCGGGTCAAATTCAACTGTCTGATGCCAAAAATCTGATTAATGTTCAGTCTTCCATGGTAAACCACCACGGGATATGTAACCTGCTCCTACATGCACATTTATGAATAGCCCAAAATTGACCGACGTGAAAGTGACTAAGATGTTAAGGATGTAGGCAGTGCCACTGCAAGTGACAGTGCTACATCCTGGATGGAGTAAGACTTGATCAGAATAGTTCATTGGCTGGCCGGCACAACTACAATCTACATCTATTTGCTATGCATTTCAACTGTACCTGCCTCTGTACATTTACTTTACTGCCCTTCTTCCTCTTCACTGCAACAATGGCCTGGCAGGTCATTCGAGGGTGGGGGTGGGTGGTGGTTGTAGGATTTCTCAATGGAAGGGAATGGCGATGGGGCGGAACCCTGCGGAGAATCACCAAAAAAATCATGAGGGCCCACGGTAGCAGGTAGCTCAGTCATGGCAAGCCTGTGGGATGGGGGGAATAGGGATATTATAAACTTCTACTACAGCAGTCCCGCGCATACTCGCAGTATGACATCCGTGGATTTACCTGTTTTTTGTTTTGTTTTTGTTTTTTGGGGCAACAAACCCCCACTTTTCATGGACAATGTATATTGAAGGTTAATTTTGTGGGTTCTTTTTTTTTTTTTTTTTAAAAGAGTTTCCAGGCTTGGTCAAAAAATAAAAAGAAATACATTCCCAATGCATTTCAATGGCCGTCAATTGGACGTGCACTTTTGCTATTCGTGGCCCAGCTTGTTATCCCCGAGAATAGCGGGGGTCCACTGTACAGTGTTAAGTTGGAATATCACCAGTCACCACTAGATGGCAGACATTGCTTAGTTGCACGTTAAAAGGGCACATCTTAAACAACGACCTTAGTAAGCCAAATATTTTTTTTGCCGATTTAGAATGACTTCTAAAATAGTACCTGAATAATATAATTTCTGTGCCTTCGTTGAATGGTCATTTTTATGCTTGCCAACCCTTTGCATTGTTGGGGAATCACAGTTTGTGGTTATTTTTTGATTGTCATTATTTTTTTTGTTTGTTCAAACCCTTTGTTGTTGGAAGGCTAGGTCTTTGATTCATGAATAGCGAAATGTATTATGACAAATATTATATGCAGATACTGTGACGGCCATTGTTTTATAAAAAAACAGAAAAAAAAACCCAGCCATGTGCATGTTTTGTCCATATTTAAAATGGCATCTTTGTCATATAAAGCTGCCTAAAAAGCATGTGTCCCATGTGGCCCCGCAGTAATTGTGACCCCACCCTTCAGTTAGACTAATTTGATTTTCTTTTACCTTGTTAATACAGGAAGAAGAGGCGTGTTCTGTGTGAGGAGGCCATGTTCTCAGTCATATTGCGGACCTTTAGGTAGTTGACAAAACCCCTGAAGAACAGCAAGAGACCTGAAAAGGAGAGGGCAATTAGGGTGCCAGCAGACCTTTCAAATAACAATGGGTAGGACGGATTGGTTTTAAGTAAACCAAGTATATGGAATAGCCATCCAAAGTGAATTGTCAGAACTTACCGAGCAGCAGGAAGATCCACCACAGCCAGTACTGACCATTGAAGTAACCAGTGAAGTAGTCAGAGAACTGGAAAAGAAAAATGCAAAATATTTATGTAGACCACAACAAGTTTGGGGTAACATCATCACATACCCTGACAATGAGAATCCACTTGATGAGGGAGAGGCCAAAGCCACAGATGGCGCCGTAGCGCCCTGCAATGGTGTTGGTCAAACAGAAGGACAAACAGAAGCCAATCCAGTTAAACAAGAAGGCCACTAGGGAGACAAAAACAAAAGGATGAGGTGAGCTGAGCAAAAACCTGCAAGATGAACCAAAAACAATCTGACTTGAGATTTGACATGTCGAGCTTTTTTCTTCACAAATACAAGTAACACCATCTAAACCAGTGGTTCTTAACCTTGTTAGTGGTACCAAACCCAACCAGTTCATATGCACATTCACCGAACCCTTCATTCGTGAAAAATAAATATATGATTTTTTTACAAATTCAAGACATTAAAAAACACATTTATTAAAAACAGAAAAAAGTCAATAAAATTACATAGCATAAGTATAGTTTTTTCCCAATTGTATGACCTACTATCACGACAGTCACATGGTGACAACGGAGCGAACAAAATTTCCCGCAGCACTGATTGGACAAGCAATGTCATGTGATCATCTGCAGCCAGCGATGGCCAAGCGGGCGTGTCATAACTAATTGACATCTTGAGTCGGGTATGTTTTAACCTTCATGGCAGCGGCTCCGTCAAACCCCTGAGACCGATTCACCGAACCCCTAGGGTTCGATCGAACCCCGGTTAAGAACCGCTGATCTAAACTGCTGAAAGTCCTCTTAAGTCTTCAGAAATAGGAAATTAAAGAGAGAGGCTCATGAGTAGTTTTAAACACAGCAGGGCGTTGGCCCTGTGGGGCATCATGGTGTTGCAAATTCATTTAACCACGAAATGAAATTTAAGAACAACTTCACAATGTTCCCAATGTCATCTGAACTATAAAACACATAATTATGTTTGCTGCTATATGCTACGTTATGGTACTTAACAATTTTTCTCCTCACGTTTAAGGATTTTTTTCCCTCTCACTTACTAAAAAAGGCCAGCATGAAGATTCCATCATTCCCAACTCGCAGCTGGTCAGCATCGTTGAAATCATCTCTGGGAAGAAATTCATCCTCCTGATGGTGATTCATGTACAGATAATTATGAGAAAAACACAGTAACAAATGCAACGAAACATTTGTGGAAAGAAAACAAGCACTAAAATGGATTCGCACCCGTGAAATCACCTCCACAGTGGAAGCAGCCAAGGCGGCGGCTTTTGCTTTTTCCGCCTCATCATATGTGGGCAACGAAGTGGCCACACTATAAGGTGGTGGCACTGGGAAGTCACTTTGGAAACTCGTCTCTGTCGTAAAATAGTTTAAGAGGAGAGATTAAAGTACACAGGCCATGTTATGGTGACACTATAACGGAAACCAGCAATCAGTCTACAGAGATTTCAACAACAAAACAACCAATGGGGCTACATGAACCCCACTACAGGAACATTTTGAAAAACTTTTCAATTTATCGTGGCCCTTTGTCTCCACCAAAACGGTTTACCCAGGTAAAGAGATTCCCAGGGGCTTTCTAAGCACCTTTGACCCACTCGGCTCTTTCTGGGCAGAGCTGGAACTTTTAAATGGGCGGGCTGCATTGATAAATGCTGGTTGAACTTGTTGGTGTGTTGTTTGGGCAACATTAGCTAACTCCTAAATTCTAGTCTGCAGTATTGACAAGCGGTCCTGGCAAGTCTCAATATTTTAAGAATGGAAGAAAAGTGAACGGATTGGATGACATCCAGTGCAACTTTGAATCTGTGACAGGGAACAACCACGTACCAGCTCATTTCAGCTGAGCTAGGTAAGCTACACAATGTTCACATAGCAAAACAAGTGAGTGGGTCACAAACAGCCACAGTGGAAATGAGCATCGAGTGAGCAAATGGTACGACCAACGAGAGACCACGGGTCAGTCTAGGGGCAACAAAGCAATGGATTCTGCAATGGCACTGTTCCACGAAATGCTCACAATATTATTCGGCATTATTTCCATTGAGTTTGTTTCAATTTGTAGCCATTTCCATCAAAAACACAAACAGTGTGCGCACGTGTTTTAATGACCAAACCGCACTGAAAATTTTAATCTTTTTCAAGTCTCCTCACCTAAGTATTCACAAAACAGGATAGAGGATTTCTTTATGGAAAGTTTATCCACCTTTGGGAGCCACTGTAATATTCAGTTTAAATGTAAACATTGTGTTTACATACAGGGGAAAAATGTTACCTTAATAATGAAGTATTGAATGTTGAATGAATTGCACTTATATAATTACGCTGGCAAAACATGTTAAAAAGACAACTGTTAATGTTATAATGCAAACGTAATGCTTACATCACAGACCCATATAATCCTATCGTAAACTCTGACCTTATTTTTTTACTTGGATTTTCATTTACAGCTGTTCTGGAGGGACATTTTGAGACAGTTTCAGGTAAAGGTATTGTGAGCTGTCCATCATATGACACACAGAACTTCAGAGTCTCCTGCAACGCCACAGCCGCCCTGGTAAATTTCATTCATGTTGATGTGTGCCCTTTTAAACACTAGATGAAGATGTACAAAAATACACAAGCTGCAAAAGTCACTAAAGGTCACTGTCTGAATCATTTTCTGGTAACTGCATTGACGTTTAATAGCCATAGGGTGGCAGTCATGTGCAGTGTAATACAGTAGCACAATGCCTCCCCCTGAAACGTCATCAGTCTCATTCGTGTTTCCTGCCCTGCACTACCTGACCTTGGCAATGCAAACTAGCTGGGCCACAGGAACTGCGTATTAACAGGAATTTATATAACCAGGAAATCAATGCAACTGGGCTTGTTGGTGGAAAAGGGGCGATACAGTACAAACCTTGCACCGCGGCAGTTGCACCCAGGTCAATATGGGCATAAGGGGGCGGAGGTGCATCTGCCCCCCCAGCTTCTGCTGGTGGAGGGGCAGGTAGCACGCTGCTCTGTGTCTGGCTTTGGCCCTGCGACGGTCCAGCCTGGGGGGTGGCACAGGGCTGCTGCTCACTGCCGGAGGCCTCAGAGGAGTCATCCTCGTTATGCAGCTGAAAGTTAAGACAATAGGACACACTGAGAACACCATCCTACCCACAAGGGATGTCCTTGAGCCTGGCACAGTATTGGAAGGAACCAAAGGAAGAAACCATTATTTGTTTTGTTTTTACAGGAAGCCCTCAGTAATTCCACGGTCTGGTATTTAAATTATGTACAGCTGACAAAGGTGACCAACATGAGGACAACAAGTGTGACAGGATGGCTGAACTCTGTTGATATGGAAAACTCAAATAAACCAAAAAAGTCACAACAGTGTTTAACAGATCAATCAAACAAACTTTGACATAAGCCTCTTGACATGAGTGCATCTTTGAACGAACGGATCCTACAGGTTTCTTCAAGTTTAAGACCTTTAATACCTATTTAAGACCATTTCTTTTACACTTAATACCCATTTCATAGCCATAACGGCAAAGAACAGCAAAATCTATCAATATGTTAGTTCTCGAACATAGAAATGTGCAATATTCGCCGAATGTATGAATGCAGCATATTGAGTAGGCTACTCACACAACACTACCACAGCGCAGACACACACCACAGACAATGGGCCAAGTACAGGTGTGGTGCCTAGGTGCGACTGTGAGCGTGAATGGTTATTTGTCTATGTATGGCCTGCGATTAGCTGGCAAACAGTTCAGGGTGTATCCCGACTGGTGCTCGAAGACAGCTGGGATAGGCTCCAGCATGCCTGTGACCCTTGTGAGGATAAGTGGATCAGATCATGGATGGATGGATGGATATATGTGTGTGTGTGTGTGTGTGTGTGTGTGTGTGTGTATATATATATGTATATATAAAAAGTAATCCCTTGTTTATCGCGGTTAATGGGGACCAAAACCACCCGCGATAAGCGAAAATCCGCGAAGTAGCGACCAATTAACATAAACAGGTAAAAAAAAAATATATATTTTTTTTAAGTCCGCAAAAAGTGCGCGAGAACCTGCAAAACAACAGCGAGTCACATAGAGCAACATATACAGTACTGTACTCCATGTATATTAAAAATATGTTTAATATATAATATGTTTGAAAAAATCCGCGATGCACTGAACCCGTGATAAACGAACCGCGAAGTAGCGAGGGATCACTGTGTATATATATATATATATATATATATTATACAAACACACACACACACAAGGAGATGTATCCTGGGATGAGTTCAATATCTTTATGATATTGAACTCAAGATATGTACATTCAAGATATTAATATGGAAATGAGGACGATATCAGGCCCCACTTGTGTTGCATGTAAATCTCAGTTCTACCAACCACAAACGTAACAAAAAACGGTGGCGGTTTATTGGTGATTGGAACAGATTTTGGAGTTAAGCAACCCCCTTAACACCACCGGACTCTGGTGACAAGGATGCTGATCTACGAACCATCTTTTTAGAAGCCATAATGAAAACCGTGGAGATTAAAATCAATTATAAATGGCAGCTGGTCAAGGCGCACATATTATATAAATCCTCAAAGCTTCATCACGAGCCTACTTCGGTTCCCAAACAACATGTGGGTCTGCCTTTGACAACAGTACTGTACTTGAAACGTGACAATTGTTTTGAACTACTCACTGAATAAGGCTCACGCGTTTCCACATTTGTCTCTCTATCAACACAAATACACTCAGTCAGTTTTTAAACAATTCAACTCAATTTTCAAGCACTTTAACAAAAACCGCAGCTGTAACAAAGGGCTATTCAAAACGTAAGTCAACAATCAAAATAGTATGTACAGGTGCAGAGTTTTATTACCGTGTTGCACTTGTTGTGTGAGGCTACTATTCGATGAGAGAGAGGAGCAAGATTACAGTCTCCAACGACCAGTATGAGGGCACCGGGATTACAGATGTCAAGGACCAGGATACTGAAATAATAATCTCAAAATCACACCGTACATGACGTCATTCACGGTTGCTACAAGATGGGTTGGCATGTAAACAAACAACTGCGGTTTTCTACCAGCTGGGGGGTTTTGGCAGTTGGCAAGGATTGTTTTAACTCCCCTGTCCGATTTAGTCCTCTCTACAGTTTCACTTTATTTTAGCGCCAGCTCTCATCCATCTCTCCATGTCGACTTCCCCGGATGCATGCTCGGCCAAATGGATATTGGCGGTGAAGCTTCCTGCGGTATTAGGCCTGTGAAGAGGCAAACGTCCAATAACGCTGATATTCTCTGGTCAATAAAATACCACGAACAAAAGGCTGCCCAGCCTAACAGGGGAGAACATAATTTAGCTGCTGTACCAGGCTGCTGGTAAAGACTCACACAAGTTCCCCTCGGCCAAAAACAGCCCAAAACGGGTTAGCAGGGCACACAACGATCTGAATCACGTATCTAACAAACCACACCATAGAAGCTGTTGTAGTTAAACAGTAAGAGCTCATATCACCGTGTTGTGTAACTGGAACCAACCCCCGCTTCAAGCTGGCGAAGGCAGGCTTCTTACGACATGGGCATTGGGCAACCATGTTTAAATACGACCTAGTAGGTATCATTGGCACCCGCCGATGAAACGTGTCTTTCCATCACATCTGTAATCTAGACGCCGTCCAGAGAAATAAAGGCGTTGGCACTTTCAATAACAACAACAAACTGCAAAATACTAAGAACGCAGGTGAACCAGTGTGTTGTTGGCAGAACCAATTTGCTACGGTTAGCCTAGCATACGCGGAAGTGTTCACCTTACTGGTTGTAACAAACGCGCAACGGAATTCGAGAAACCTTTCTTTCTAACAGCGCCAAACCAGATTGGACATCGGAAAGAACTACATATAAGGCGTCCTAATTAAATGGTAGAACTTGGTGGCAGGGCCCCGTTGGTTTACTGTGGTTGGTCATGTAGGCCAAATACCACAACATTAAACACTCAGTACTTACCACTTGGTATCGACTTGTTGGGTCCATCCTGAAAATATACAACTGCCGAGCAAGCCAGTCAAGAGAGTTCCGAATTTGTCCCGTTTACAAAACAGAAAATTCTTTATCTCACAAACAACTAAAACTATACTAAAACCGTCGGCATAAGAAATGGCCGCAGTTTACAGAACAGTCGCTTCGTTGTTGCTTAAAAAAAAAATTGTCGATAGTGTCAAGTTCGTATTAAAGTCGAACATTTCCGCCCGAACATTTAAAAATGCACTTCCCGGGCAGTTTTAAAGACTTCCATTGAAACATTCACGTACTGACAGAAACGTGGGTGAATATATTTTTGTCGTTTTTCTCGTGTATAAAGTATTTTGAATCAAATTGAGTTTAGTTTGAGACTCGTACGCATTTTATTTTGCAATCTACAAGCCGCATTTCCGATATTATCTCGTGCTTCTTATTTCCGGAAGGCCGAGTGATTGGATGAACCAGATGACGCACATACAAATCGAAAAATGAATGGTTAACCACAATGTTTTTCCATTCCATGTAGAAATCTTTTGAGCTTTGGTAGTACAGTACCTGAAAAGAGGAACTACTCCTCAACGTAACATTAACAATTTTCGGTCAATTAAAAAAAGCTAATTTCTTACGTTTAGTTTCCCCAACATATTAACTCTGAACTTTATTTCCTTATTAACCAAGCACTAAATATATTCGTTCATTGTAGTTTTATGTGCTGAGCACAGGAAGAAATTACGGAAGGTTTTAATTCAGCAAAATTGGGTGTTTGTCGCGTTAAGTCTTCTGTGCGGTGTTCTTCACCCAAAACATCAAATATGATTCAGTTTACAAGACCCTGTTCCGTTTACTGCTTATTTACAAATTACAGAACCCGGCTTTTAAATTCAACCAGCCATTTATTGAGACAAAGTGATGCCATGTAAATGAACAAAAGCAATTAAATATACCCTACAGTTGACCCCATTATGAAAGTAAATAAATACAATATAAAGGTGAAACAAGTCTTCATTAATAAAGATGCTTCACACTTTTTGGCCCTTAAAGTCAATTAGTCGGACCCAGTACACGACAAAAAAAAAAAAAAAAAGTTCACATCACTTCACGATAGATATCACACCTTTATTCAGTTCATATTATTCCGCAGTAAGAAAGAGGAAATGACGATAACACCAAAACCACAAACTTTCATAAACTACTCACACGTACACACACTTGGAAGCAGACATGTTGGAAAAAGCGTAGCCAATATGCAGTAATCATGTTTTGCATCAGAGACCAATCTAAGAAGAGAAAGCGGACCCATGTCTGGTACGAAACGGATAGATGATGAGAAGACCTAAATGAGATATCTCCACACGTCTATCCATCGATCTAGCTAGCTAGCTTCCAATTGTGAATGTGGGGCCGAGAGCCATGTGTTCTGTAGATAACTTTAATGTCCAGCAGAGGGCAGACACGATTAGATTATAATTTGAGGAACATTTTCATATGCAGTACTTCACGATGATTTCGAAAGTAATTGATACATTTATTGTGGTGGTCACAACACCATATTGTATACAATATAGTGTTTTCTATAAAACGTTGCTGACACTAATCTGAATCTCCCCATGATGTTCAAAACACAAGAGAGTATCGAAGCTGAGTGTTTTAATAAATGTTATTAATTTGCAATTTGAACATGCTTGTGTGATTCCTTGCCAACAGACAGCTGTTCTGGCACTTACCCGTGTGATTTATTTTGACTTGGGTGCACGGATGTGGTTTAGTAAATCATATAAGTGTTCTCTCCAGGGACCGAGACAGCTGGGCGTCCTTGCATGCGGAAAGATGCTGTCATGTTAATTTCTACATAACGCTAATCATGTTTGTGTGTGGTTGCTCATATGACTATATGCAAGATCATCCTTATTTTAAGTTTTCCTTTTGTGCAGTTGCACCGAGCAAACAAGCAGCTGTTTCTAGATCACACCGGGTCAAACGAAGACTGCAAACAACATTTAGTTTCAATGTGTAATGATTGTTTCTGAAAAAAAGCTGATCATGGCAGCAAAAAGGATTGATCCAATTCCAGTAAACACAAATTACGAAATAAATGACGTAATGAAACAGCCGAGTGATGGACTTTATGGTAATCTGAGCATGGCCGCTGTTGTGTATTACTCAACAGATCATGAAAACAAAAGTGAATAATGTAAAAGTGTACAGAAAAGTCAAGATTTTCCCCATGGTACCCAAGACCGGGTGTTTGATGCTGAAACACTTTCTTTCCCTCGGCATCCCGCCTCTCTCTCCCACGCTCCCGCCATCACTTGCCTGCTGCTGATGAATTAAAAGAAAGTATGTCATTTGGCAGCCATGCGGGGAGGAAGGAGGAAGACATCAGAAAGAATTCATTCCGTGAGTTTCTCCAACATGGGCCCGGGCTCGGCTGCTTTGTGGCTTTTGTGGTTTGCATGCGGTTATTTGGGTCAGTTATTGGGGGCAGCTCTGTTCACCAAGCAGTTTTAACCCAGCTTGACAAAAACTGTACAAGTACAATGGCGATGTTTCACATGCCTGCATTCATATTCGGAAAATCTCAGCTTCAGTGTTAGGTGCTTTGTTTTTAACGAGAGACACTCAACACTTCTGCTGCAAGCAGCTGCTGTTGCTATGCGACTCCACTCTGAGTGAAGCATCACTAAAGCTTAATGGCAGCACCGGTCTTTCTGCTGGCACCTGAGAGTTTTTACATGTGAATCTGGGCCATAATGTCTTTTGCGGACTATGCTGCACCTCATTATCTTGTTTGCCATTCTCAACATAATAAGTAGGACTGTACACGAATCGGTGGAGACTCGAATAGAGACACGAATAGACCATTAAAGCAAACGCCAAATCAGAATTTTTGGAAGTGGTCATAACGGGTCCCAGCGTGTATGTTTGAGCGGCGACGCTCAGATCTTAGTATCTATATTGTTGCAGAATGAGTCAGGCCAAGCGGCGAGCAAGCAACAAACTCTTTAATGAGAACAAAAAGGGAATACCGTTGGCCGTAACCACACCAAAAGCAAGGCTAACTGATAAGTAGCTTCATCATTTCTCCATTCTTTCTTCCCCAACCTCGGTCTTTGCTCTCGTTAGCTTTGCGACCAGCCCAGATCAGAGGAAGCCACAGAACTTCCTACAGTGCGAATGTGGGGGAGCGCATGTTGCGTGTGAAAGCATGCTGCATTCAAATGAACATAAAATTCAACTGTTAAGCAGTCAGGCAATAAAGCCTGACCAAGCAGTTTACCAATTCCTTTGTTTACTCGCTGTTGGGCTTTCACGACATCCTAGCAAGGGAGATGAAATACAAAAATACTCACGTGAGATGAGCGCTACCTGGAGTTAAAATTGGTTCACAAGAACACTCGGGGTTCTGCCATTGTCCAGTATACTGCAAGGTATCCTGGAGGTTAAAATTAAGTTATTTTAAACAAAAAAGGAAAACCTTTCAGTAGGTTGATGTGGCTAGGTTAGCGCATTGGTGTAGACTAGAGCGTAGACTCCCTGATGCTTAGCAAGTCTTCTCTCGAGTAAGTAAGCGGCGTAGGGTCATCAGAAACAAACAAAAATGACAAAAATAAAGACAATACCAGGGAGCAAGTCACCGAGGCAGCTACTCCTGCGGCCCCCATCTCCAAATAACCATAGGCAGACATGAATATTATCTCCTATAAGGCATAGATTTTGGTGGCCGGAGCTTGGCAAGGATGTTCTGCCTGCACATGCCTCACACAAGCTACCGGCGGGTCTTCTTCAACCATTACCGGTTGCACCTCGACCATGGTCCCACATCATCACTGGTCTCTCTCCTCCTAAAGACAAATCCGTTGTTTTTACCATTTCGGACCGCTTCTCGAAACAGGCCCACTTCATCGCGCTACACAAGCTTCCATCTGATTTGGATCCACCAACCTTCTCATTAATCACATCTTCCGCCTCCATGGGATTCTGATGGACCTAGTGTCCGATCAGTGTCCACAAGTTATCTCCAAGGTTTGGAAGCGGTTCTCTCAAGCCACGGGAGCCACTGCAACCCTATCATCTGGTTTCCACCCACAGTCCAACGGGCAGACCGAACGGATGAATCAGAACCTGGAGGCGGCTCTACGATGCGTGTGTCCCCAATGTCCTTGTCTTGGGGAGCCCATCTACCCTGGGTGGAGTCCGTGCACAACACCCTCGTCTCATCAGCCAGAGATCAGTCTACGCTCATGTCGGCCTATGGTTATCAGCCTCCGTTATTCCCATCTCAGGAGGGGCAAGTGGAGATCCCTTTTGTGCAGCTCCACCTGATACGGGCCGATCAAGTCTGGAGGGAGACTGGACTGTACACGAATCGGTGGAGACTCGAATAGAGACACGAATAGACCATTAAAGCAAACGCCAAATCAGAATTTTTGGAAGTGGTCATAACGGGTCCCAGCGTGTATGTTTGAGCGGCGACGCTCAGATCTTAGTATCTATATTGTTGCAGAATGAGTCAGGCCAAGCGGCGAGCAAGCAACAAACTCTTTAATGAGAACAAAAAGGGAATACCGTTGGCCGTAACCACACCAAAAGCAAGGCTAACTGATAAGTAGCTTCATCATTTCTCCATTCTTTCTTCCCCAACCTCGGTCTTTGCTCTCATTAGCTTTGCGACCAGCCCAGATCAGAGGAAGCCACAGAACTTCCTACAGTGCGAATGTGGGGGAGCGCATGTTGCGTGTGAAAGCATGCTGCATTCAAATGAACATAAAATTCAACTGTTAAGCAGTCAGGCAATAAAGCCTGACCAAGCAGTTTACCAATTCCTTTGTTTACTCGCTGTTGGGCTTTCACGACATCCTAGCAAGGGAGATGAAATACAAAAATACTCACGTGAGATGAGCGCTACCTGGAGTTAAAATTGGTTCACAAGAACACTCGGGGTTCTGCCATTGTCCAGTATACTGCAAGGTATCCTGGAGGTTAAAATTAAGTTATTTTAAACAAAAAAGGAAAACCTTTCAGTAGGTTGATGTGGCTAGGTTAGCGCATTGGTGTAGACTAGAGCGTAGACTCCCTGATGCTTAGCAAGTCTTCTCTCGAGTAAGTAAGCGGCGTAGGGTCATCAGAAACAAACAAAAATGACAAAAATAAAGACAATACCAGGGAGCAAGTCACCGAGGCAGCTACTCCTGCGGCCCCC